TGTTTAAACTCTTAAGCAGTTTAATAGTGACTGACATGTTGTTCCTCCAGATCCTTCATAGCATCGCCCAGCGGCTACAAGAAGTCCATGCTGCTGGTGGCGCTCACAACGACCTAAAGTTTGATAACATTGTCGTCTCGTACAGTATGTCCTGAACTAGACAACCTCTTGACGTCAGCACCATCGACTACGGCTTCCCAACCTTCAAGGGTTAAACTGTCAGCTTGAACAGCACCCCAGAAGCTCGACATGACTCTCAATTACACCCCAAAAGCTCGACATGACTCTCAATTACACCCCAAAAGCTCGACACGACTCTCATTACACCCCAGAAGCTCGACACGACTCTCATTACACCCCAGAAGCTCGACATGACTCTCAATTACACCCCAAAAGCTCGACATGACTCTCATTACAACCCAAAAGCTCGACATGACTCTCAATTACACCCCAAAAGCTCGACATGACTCTCATTACAACCCAAAAGCTCGACATGACTCTCAATTACACCCCAAAAGCTCGACATGACTCTCATTACAACCCAAAAGCTCGACATGACTCTCATTACACCCCAAAAGCTCGACATGACTCTCATTACACCCCAAAAGCTCGACATGACTCTCATTAAAACCCAAAAACTCGACATGACTCTCATTACACCCCAAAAGCTCGACATGACTCTCATTACACCCCAGAGCTCTTTGACGCAACTCCAGCAACACCTGCTGCAGCTCCGTACTCACAGTACTAGTAGTGGTAATAGTTGTAGTACTAGTAGTGGTAATAGTTGTAGTACTAGTAGTGGTGATAGTTGTAGTACTAGTAGTGGTGATAGTTGTAGTACTAGTAGTGGTAATAGTTGTAGTACTAGTAGTGGTAATAGTTGTAGTACTAGTAGTGGTGGTAGTTGTAGTACTAGTAGTGGTAATAGTTGTAGTACTAGTAGTGGTGATAGTTGTAGTACTAGTAGTGGTGATAGTTGTAGTACTAGTAGTGGTGATAGTTGTAGTACTAGTAGTGGTAATAGTTGTAGTACTAGTAGTGGTGATAGTTGTAGTACTAGTAGTGGTAATAGTTGTAGTACTAGTAGTGGTAATAGTTGTAGCACTAGTAGTGGTGATAGTTGTAGCACTAGTAGTGGTAATAGTTGTAGTACTAGTAGTGGTAATAGTTGTATTATTATAATCATGGGGGAGCACTAAACCCAGAGGGATTATACAGCGCCTGTGGGGGGGGGGGTAGAAAGGTATTCAGACTTAATTCAGGTAATTGTAGCACAGATCCAATTCCCTGAATCAAGAACCCTTCACCAGCACCAAGGAACCTCCACTGAGGGGGTGACAGTTGTATGCTTCACCACTTAAGTGACCTTCACAAACTCAAAGACTGAGGGACTGACTACCTCATCATTTTTATATAGTTCAACAGTCCTCACATTATGTCCTTGACTTTGTATTGACAAAGCCACTGGATGGCGAAACGTCTACAATAGACATACCCAGATGTTGCACATGTGTCTAATTTCCATCTTGTCGGTACTACCATACCTGTACGATCTTATCACACCTTATAATGCTCTCACCTTGGCCACAATTATATTATTATTATTACAATCAAAACTAAGCGCTAAACTGACAAGGGTCATCCAGCGCTGCCAGCATTGAATGAATTGTTTGTGTGTGTGTGTGAAGTTTGGCCTTTCCTCTAGTGTTGTATGGCCTATGTGGGTTTAGTGCTCCCCCTTTATATAAAATCACCCTATATGTGCTCATAACACGTAAGTCATTCATTACGACTCGAGTTCGTAACTTGGAATTATTTGGTTATATTAATGGACGAGTTATATCTTCATGTCAGAGTGTGTAAGTGATGGTTAGGTAATTAAGTTCAATCCAAGGAAGGAGAGCAGCTTTAGTTTCTCAGAGAATTTGGTTGATTAATGGGGCTTGAAGCCTATCATCTGCACTAGGGACATTGTCCTTAGATTATTATAATCAAAACAAAGCACTAAAACCCACCAGGGCCATACAGTGCTGCATTAAGTCCTTAGAAAAGTCTCTCTTACACAAGCCTTAGACAATCACTTTAATATACATGGGTGATATGTACCTGGTAGAGGTGTGCATGCATCAGTTCTCTACCATGACCAGGTGGCAATTAAATTGTTAGTATTTTTATTATTAAAATGAAAATTAAGTGCTAATAGTAGGTCAGTAGTTAAGTGTCTCATGAAATCATAATACAATTCCAAACATGCCATGGCACGGGTAGTATTAGAACCCACTGCAAGCGAGTCGTATAAGGACAGCACATAAGTCACTAGGCCAGCTGGCTACAATAAGATTTGTCCAACTAAGAACATTTATACACCATAGGGAGGTTAACATGGGCCACCACTGGGACCACTCACCACAGGTACTAACCCCACCCATACCATGGTTTGGTCAGTAGTTAGTGTTGCTACTAGCTCACCACTTGTGATCTGCTCTTCACTGTTTCAACATACTGTATTTTAACAGTTTACCTATAAATTAGTCCTTTCCACCTTTGTCACCAGAATTTTTAAGTTCTCTTTTTGACATTATAACTGCCCAAAATGCACTGCCTGCTAGTGGCAATCTTTTATGCTTAATATTTTATCACGTATAAAGTACATTTTGTATGCTGCAGAAAAGAAATAGAGTTGATATGAGTTGTAACTGATGTTGGCTATTTTAACTTGACATAATAATATTTGTGTTGAGTGTTTATATTCACTGGTTTTTATTGCTTATTTTTATCCTTTCTTTTTAATGTGTTGTATATACAGTGGACCCCCGCTTAACGATCACCTCCCAATGCGACCAATTATGTAAGTGTATTTATGTAAGTGCGTTTGTACATGTATGTTTGGGGGTCTGAAATGGACTAACTACTTCACAATATTCCTTATGGGAACAAATTCGGTCAGTACTGGCACCTGAACATACTTCTGGAATGAAAAAACATCGTTAACTGGGGGTCCACTATATTTAATGAGTTAAGTGCTCACCAGGAAATATTACTATTATTATCAAAACTAATCTCTAAACCACGAGGGACCAAGAAATATATCATAGAAATACCCACAAGACACAAATAACCACACATAGGAAAGAGATATTGCGTGCTTTTGTTCTCTAACGCCCACAAGATGTGAAAACACTTCATCTGCTACTAAGGTCAATGTAACTGGTCAAGGTCAGTGTACCCGGTCAAGGTGATGTATCTGGTCAAAGTCAGTGTACCTGGTCAAGTCAGTCATATATGTGGCTCTTAGTAACTCAAGTTTGCCAATTCCACGTCAGAGTTGGCCCAGCGTGTTAGAAGCCTTGGTAATAAGAGTGCATTTCCCTGGCATTGTTTATTGATGAATCAATCACCTTGAAATTATACATGTATGCAATTGAACCGTTGCAAGCTCATCTGCAACACAACAACACATTTCCAACTTTTTAACTAAAAATACTCTAAGTTTTGGGTTAGCTGTGATTTCCAATTCAGAATCAGCATACTTGAATTAGTTTAAAAAATTGCTCATACCTCGGCAGCAAATTTGTTGTCCTGCATTTTCACTGTATTCGTGGGAAAGCAATAAACCTGTAAGGTTTATCCAACCAGAAAAGCCTGTCGCAGGGCTGGGCTGCAGAGTATGAAAACTCAAGAAATTCATCAATGGTATATCGAAGGAGGGCGGGATAATAAATCCATAACTGTAAGATAACTGTAAGAATGTGATTTCACAGAGCAGGAATTATCATCATGGAGAGGTGCTGGGTACTGTATGACCTCCTACCAGGTCAGAAATCCTGGGAAATAATCAAGTTCAATCAAAGTAAGGGGAGATCAACTCTCTTCTTAAATCAATAGCCTCTCAACAAGGCATCTTGAAAGTATGAGGCTGGAGAAATAGGATCTGCTAGGAGGGAAGAACCAGGAGTGTGAAGGAAATGGGTGGAGCAGGAAGAGAGGGAGTGAAGCAACAAAAAGGAATGGGATCAACTCAGGTGATGAGAACTGGAGGAAGACACAGCTTCAGAACAGTTGAACCTGATTATCACATGTATGAAAAAAGGAAAGTACCAAAATACTGGTAGAACACTGTAAAAATCATTAATGAAAAAGTTTTTATAGTATACCAGGTAATATGTGTGGCAGAAATATTATCAAAAGTGTTCTGAGTTAATACAGAGTAGGAGTGCAGGGTAACAATGATTTATCAAGGGAAGGGGATATACAGTGGACCCCCAGTTAACGATATTTTTTCATTCCAGAAGTACATTCAGGTGCCAGTACTGACCGAATTTGTTCCCATAAGGAATATTGTGAAGTAGATTAGTCTATTTCAGACCCCCAAACATACACATACAAACGCACTTACATAAATACACTTACATAATTGGTCGCATTGGGAGGTGATCGTTAAGCGGGGGTCCACTGTATATGGATCCAGTGTTTACATTAAAACTTGTATGTGAAAAAATACTCCGAGATAAGTAAGTAGTAATTAGTCACATTCAAGGATCTGAATACAATATATGGTGACAAAGAGCATGTGAACACAAAAAAAAACAACTTTGATATTTCTAGTATTTTATTTTTCACTGTGGTAGGTTTGCATAACTTCATGCATTTTAAAGTGATTCCTTGTCACATACATACTCAATTTTGTGTGTGTGTAAGCATGTGTATAATTATAATAATAGTAAACCCTCATATATAATATAGCTTGATATAAGACTTAAAATAATAGGCAAAATCTGATTTAAATGTTACTTCTAACTCATATTTTCAACGTTTGTTGCAATATATGTACACGAAGTGTACTTCTACATTTAGTAATTTATACAGAAGTGGTTAATAGCCCATTGCTCCTGGCATTTTAGTTGCCTCTTACGACACACATGCCTTACGTGCCTCTGGTGAGTCTGATAGAGTAAATGATGGCGAGTGTTTCTTCTTTTAGGGTGACCTTGCCTACCTTAGTGGGAGATGGCCTATATTAGGTATACAGTAGAGCACTTTGGTGTTTTTTTTTTTTTTTAATTTTTCAACACTGTTGTGATTCAAGAAACATTTGAGGGTTACCACATACAAAACTACAACAATTCACTAATAACCCAAATTAGATAAAACTCTTGTGATAGTGTTTTGGTCCAGCCAGGACCATTGCCAAGATGCAATTGAGGCAAGAAAATATTACTGTTGGTAACAGTACTACATACATACTTCTACTACTGGTGTATGACCCTTGTGGGTTTAGTGCTTAAATTGATTACATTATTATTATTACCACTATTACCCCTCCCCTCCCTTAGTGTCTTCTAGCTTATCAACATTTTTTTACCTCACACGTGACTTTACAATGGTCCAAGACTGACCAAACCATCATAAGACTCTAACATACAATGGTTATTTGTCAACTGCTCCAACCATGGTACTGACTTTTAACTTTTACAAGCACACACATACTCACACACACACACACATACACACATGCACACACACAGACAGAGTGGATTCTCATAATTCATGTGGTTTAGGTTCCTGAAAGTAGCATTATGGTGCAAGTAAGGCAGGAAGAATAAGAATGCATTCTCGACATCTTCCAAAGTGCAGATGAATTTTTTTTAATTTTTCATTTTGTCAAAAATATTAGTTTCTGATACCTTAAATTGTAGATGTCACTGCACGTAGATCGAGATGTCTTGCGCATGCAAATGTTATGGGAACATGAAATAATTTTGTAGATTTTACCTAGGATAACTTAATGCAATCATTGCAACTACAAATGTAACAAAAAAGGCCATGTAAAACCATTTTTATAGTAAATTCTGACAAACAGTCGAGCAAAATTACCTAAAATATCTCCTATCATTTCTAAAAACTGGGGGAAACAAGTTGATTCAATTTTTTTTTTCTTTCCAGTGGCTTACACACTGGCCTAGTTCTAACCCCACCCATACCATTGTTTGACTGTTAAAGACACGGAAATGTGTTATTACAGTATAACTATGGGTTGCCAGCCTTAATGCATGCCTTACCATCACACACCATCAAGAATATTTACCTAAACTATCTTTTAGAAGCCTCCAGTGTCACATTTAGTAATTTTCTTCTTTGTGCCTCTAGCGTCACTACCATCATCTCATTTAGGCTGGAAGAGTTGGAGGCAATTGGATTCGATCCAAGAAAAGGGAGGGTAGTTCCAGTTCTTTGGATCAAGAGCCCTTCACCAGCATCAAGGCACCTCCCTTGAAGGGTCCAGTATCACTAGCATTCCAATTGTGCACCATGGTTAATATATCCAATGACAAGATAGAGCCATGAAAAACTGAAAATGAAGAGATAAACACTGACCACCTCAGCAGGTGTTTATACTGAGGAGTACTGTTACACTTCCTAGCACAGGGAACTGACCACCTCAGTGGGTGTTTATACTGAGTAGTACTGCTACACTTCCTAGCACAGGGAACTGACCACCTCAGTGGGTGTTTATACTGAGTAGTACTGCTACACTTCCTAGCACAGGGAACTGACCACCTCAGTGGGTGTTTATACAGAGGAGTACTGCTACACTTCCTAGCACAGGGAACTGACCACCTCAGTGGGTGTTTATACTGAGTAGTACTGCTACACTTCCTAGCACAGGGAACTGACCACCTCAGTGGGTGTTTATACAGAGGAGTACTGCTACACTTCCTAGCACAGGGAACTGACCACCTCAGTGGGTGTTTATACTGAGGAGTACTGCTACACTTCCTAATGTAGGGAACAAATTCTCTCCATGCATCAGAGCAAGATTTTTATGTGTGACTTAAGATCTTTAACATAAAATTTAAAGTCATTAAAAACGCATTTGCACGAATTATGAGAATCCACTAGACACACACTATTACAACCAATTTATTTAACTTTAATATTCTAATTTTTTGAGCTTCATTTAGTCAATTTTAAAGTACAGTACTATAATATATAGACAAAACTAAACTTACAACCGACAAGACCACAGTTAATAAATTGTTACACAGCGTGTATAAGTGCATCGCTCGTCATGACCCCGTCTACGCTAACCTCAATGACATTTTTATTAATAGTGGTGTGATTAACAGAATGAAGTTTGAAAAGGATTTACAACCAAGGATTTCCTAGCAAGGTGTTAAACAATATAAAATTCCCCCATCATACCCTATATCCATGTAGACACTGTACTTACAGTAGAGGTAACCCCCAACTTACAGAGGTGACTCCCAACTTACAAACTAGTGTTCCAAGTGTGTTGCAACTTACAAATGACTTGTTTATTTAGGAAAACAAAATAGTACAAAGAATGCTTACAATTCATTTATGTTAGTACAGCATATCACCTGTTGTAAAAATTTAAATTATTTTGCAAGTGCTAGCGCTTAGAAATTGGGAGCCACCTGCATAGCCTCACAAGATAAATGAGAATATAACATATAAGACTATTAAATGCCTTGACATTAATTATTAAAAATTATAGCAAGAATTAAGCCAAGTAATTTGACCTTAAAATAAATGATCCATCAAGGTCAGAATAAAAATAATCATATAGTTTCCTATATAGGAAATATCCTGACAGTTTAGAGATAAAAATTACCCTAAACCTTTGGCAGTAAGAGCAAACGAATAAATATATAAATAAATAAATATGATAAACCAAATATGTAGTATATATCCAGGAACCAACGTTTTCATACACTATAACATAGAGGTATTCCACGTACAATATTGCAATAAGAGTCGGAAATTAAAATAAAATTAAAAATTCAAGAGTGCAGATGGTTTTTCCACGATATTGAAATTGGAAAGACAAACCTGTTACACTCATTACAGGACTACAGTGCTGCTGAATTTTCATACCTCAGTTATTAAAGTGTCTAACAGAGAAAAGGAATTCATTCCACTTGAATTTTTTTTTTTTCATGGTGGGCCAGCACTCGACCCATTATTCCCTGAGTGTGCCCTACAGTACATTTTAAATATGTCTGCCTTAACCTAAATTTTATCATGTTAAGGTAAAAAGAGCATGAATAACTACAGATCAGAAAAGTAGAAAATATAAAAAATACACATTTCGCCAAACACAATTTATGAACAGGCTATCAATTTTGCAGTGATCAATTTAAACAGATGGATATATGTGACTCTCAATATTCATTTCCTGTTGTTGTTGTTTTTTTTTTCAAAAAGTCAAGGCTTTGTCCATTTTCAAAAAAAATTTTTGGATTACACCCCAAGTGTCATTTATTTTACAATAAACTGTTTCTTGCTTAAAGGTAAACAAAAAGAGAATATATAAGAAATACTACAAATGTTGGTTTTCCCAAAAATGTAACTAACAAGTGACATCTATCTGTAAGAAAGTCACATTAAGATAATCCATGACTTTTCCTACTTATGACTTATTTAAAAACATTAAAAAACAAAGCCTTACTAATCTGTAGGAGCTGCTACCTGATACCTACATTATAGAGCAAATATACATTAGTGTGTTTAGATATACAGTATCAGTGTAATGTAAGCCAAGGTACAGTAGGTGTTGTTTATCCAAAATCAGCAACGAGTCCTAAATTAAATAAGAGCATAAGAGGTTCCTATCAACAGAAAAATAGTAAGGAATGCAACCTATCTTTTAAGGGATAGACAAGTCTCAAACCTATGATCTAGCATTGACTAAATTGTAATAATGTTGGTAGAATTACCAACAATATGTTAGGTAAAAAACACATGTGCAATTAGTGCATCATTTTACTGTGGCAACGTTTTGCTCTCCAGGAGCTTTGTCAAGCAGTAACAGCTTGACAAAGCTCCTGGAGAGCAAAACGTTGCCACAATAAAATGTCGCATTAGTTGCATTGTGTCCTTTTACCTAACACTGACTAAATTGTTGCCCACTGGGCTGTAGTAGTCACAATAAAAATTGCAACCTTATCTTGTGGTCACAATAAGAACTGCAACCTTATCTTGGGTAGTGTTTAACAGCTGCCCCTAAATGGGACATCATCTTCAACTTTTTTATAATGGTGCCTTCACCACCAACAGTCTGTTTATTAGGAATGACATGACTCTAGGCCAGATCAATCCTAATAAACAGTTGTAACCTTTTTCAAGGGCTGGATGAGCCTTGAAGCAATAATTTAGCCTCTGCTAGTCCACCAGGTGCTAAGATTGTGAGTTCAAGACACATTCATTCCTTGAAAAAACTCCTGATCATTCTTACAAAGCATTCCTCGAAATTCTATAATATAGGTGCTCCTCGACTTAAGAAGGGGTTATGTTTCGACAAACCCATCGTAAGTTGAAAATATCGTAAATAGGTAAACAAATAACTAATGTCACAGAATAAGTAAATGAACAAATAATTGCTGTAACTAACTAAATACCAGTATTAAAAGGTAAATAAATGAAAACAAGTGTTTCTTTTTTGGGTCACCCTGCCTCGGTGGGAGACGGCTGATGTGTTGCAAAAAAAAAACAAGTTACGGTCTTGCTGCCTTCATGATGGATAATTATCTTGAGTTTCATCTCCAAAACAATTGCTTATGCAGCATCATAAAGTCAAAATATTGTAAGTTGAACCATTGCAAGTCGAGGAGCACCTGTATTTATGTCGTAATAGCCATTTACCGACAAGGTAGGGTGACCCAATAATGGGAGCACACTCACCACTGTTGAATAGGTGTCTAGCCAAAAGAGCACAGACATCACAAGTCAAACAACCATCTTAACCAACCTATACCCAATCCCATGCCCATTCCTTCTGATTGTAGCCAGTGAATTTCCTATCTCCGGATCTCAAATTTCCTGAATGCCTTCATAAATATTACTTTGCTTAATAGACCCCCGAAAACCGTTTGTCTATAGAATTGTCACATTTTTATTATTCTACATAATAATAATAATTATTATTGTTGCTATTAATTAAAACAATCAACTAACAAATAATTAACAACTAGAACAGCTAAGATCTTTGCCTTCTTAACTCACTATTAATCTCGTTTCTTAAAACTGACTTGGATCGATGATGATTACAAGAGGCGATGAACACCAAAAATCATTAAAACCTACTGGCCTCTTATAGGGGTCTGCATTGAAATAAAAATGTAAAATATTATGTACAGTTGGGGTATCATCCATATTTTACAGAAAATTGGTAATTCATTAAAAATGTAAAATTCTGGTACAGTCATGTACAGTACTACTTTTAAACATCATGAGAATATTTATGATTGCTGGAGTAAATAATTTTTTTATACATCATAGGTATGAACAATTATACCCTTAATAAATTATTATTTTATAATACTAAAATTAGCAATATAGTGGACACTAGCTAGTATACTGTAGCTGTAATTCATGAACTACCTAGCACACAAAAATTAAATTTAAACCATAGTTTTTTAGGATACACTAACTTACCCTCAAGACCTGTTTGCTGTCCACAGCACATACATGCATACATGTAGAGAATAGCAACCATAGCAAGGGTCTTACGCAAGCAGTAATGCAATCATTTCACGTTTCCCATCTCAACATATAGCCCACACACATGCTATGTGACTTAACATATACAATTCCTTTGACTATGGAAGGCTATCCAAATTTTAATGACAAAATAAGCAGCATGGCCCAGTGCCGTCACTTTAAAGAACAATACCAGAAACTCTGACAGTAACTCTTCTCAGCTGTATATCTCTCTGACATTCATTCAGAATCAAAGAGATTTTCATGGAGGTCTTCAAGGGTATTTAGACATACATGTACAGTATCTAGACAGTTAAAAAATGACAATCAACACTGCAATACTGTAGTGACCTACCATATGTTAGAAGCTGACAGATCAGCTAGCTTGGTGTAAGATCTTGCTGCAATTTGCATTCCTTGGTACACATCATTTGCATTTGTTGCCGTGGTAAAAGGAGGGGGTGCTGAGGCCCCATAAACCTACCGATTCTTTCTCGTAGGTTTGTCAGCAAATATAAAATACTATACAGATATAAAGTACAAGGCAGGTCCGTAATTGTAACTCAGTGCACTAGCCAATGCCTACTGCATATTAAAAAATACACTTTAAGACAAAAATAATATTAAGATAATTTTTCAGTTTTCACTGATGTTATTTTTTTCTTTGGTGATGATTTGTGCCCCTTTGTCCGCTCACTTTCCAATTTCCTTCTGATGGGTTTAAGTGTTTCCGCTGGCTCAGAGACTTCTTCATCGGGCTCTGTTTTAGGTTCTACTTTGACAGGAGACTTGTAATTGGTAAGTTTTACATTAGAAAACACAACTTCCTCATCATCAAGTTCTTTTATAGTACCCTTAAGGTAGTCACGAAATTTTCGAAGTGCCGAGTAGAAGGGAACTTTATCCAGAGCTCTTGGCAGTTGTGCACACCTAGCTGATGAAGATGGCATAACCCAGATGTACTGTAAACAAAAATATATTTTTTAACAACAGAGTAAATATTGATAACTTTTGAGCACTACACTGAGCTCAAAATTTCACTATACAGGCATTTGTAAATCTGTATGTGTGCACGACATTAGGTGTTTATCCCCAGGGTAGGGTCACCCAAAGAAAGAAACACATTTACCATCACACAGTAGCTATTCTGTCATTGAGTAAAATAAAAACACAAGTGCCCCGAGACTGTCTAGGTCAACTCTTATGCATCATCAATTTTGGTATGATGCCTGCACTCTGAAGGAGGGGTGAAGACATACTGAAGTTTTTGAACAGTAGTATCGGCATGCCTCTGGCAACACAGTGACAGAGTGAGCGATGAAAGTATTTCTTCTTTTTTGGGCCACCCTGCCTCAGTGGGAAATGGCCAATGTGTTAAAAAAAAAATTAGGTAGCCATGTTTGTCGCATATCAAACAAATCTAACTTGTCATTTAAATTACTGCCGCCCATTTATAGTTAATAAGTTCTCCCTCAAGGGTACACAATATCAAGACCAGTAGTAAAGAACACAGAATAAGACAAAATAAAGTATACTGTAACTTCAAGGCTGGACAGTCTGCTGTGTCTGGCAATTATTATAATTTAAATTATTTGCTCAACTTACAACTAACCCACAAACTGGAGATAAATCTGAAATCAACATTTCAACCCTTCTTAGACCACTATCAAATTATGAGAGAGAAAAGAGGAGTAAGCCAGAGGTCAGATCAGGTGAAGAAGTTGGAGACAGCCAAGGTCAGGTCAGATCATGAGTGACTGACAATATACAGTGGACCCCTGGCATTCGATGGTATCGGTATACGTTAAATCCGGTATTCGATACATTTTAATGCAAAAATTTGGCCTCACCACTCGTTAGAAAACCTGTCACACGCGATTCGTCCAGGACGCGTCCATGTGAGTGCCAGTGTTTACAAGCCAGCCAGTGTGCTGGCATCTAAGCATACATTCGGTACATTCCATATTATCACGGTGTTTTTGGTGCTTGTTTCTGCAAAATAAGTCACCATGGGCCCCAAGAAAGCTTCTAGTGCCAACCCTGTGGTAAAAAGGGTGAGAATTAGTATGGAAATTAAGAAAGATTTTGAAGGGTTTGGGGCTAACCCTGAGAAGCCTATGCCAGTTGTGGAATCCATTGTGCCTACTTCAAAAATTAAGGAAATGTGTGCAAAGTGGGTTGAACTGCAAACCTTTATGGATGAAAATCACCCTAACACAGCTATTGCAAGCAGTGCTGGTGACTATTACAATGAAAATATTGTGGCCCATTTTAGACAAATCGTAAAGGAACGGGAAGTACAGAGTTTTATGGACAGATTTGTTGTGCGACAGAGGTCCAGTGACTCTCAAGCTGGTCCTAGTGGCATTAAAAGAAGAAGGGAAGTAACCACAGAAAAGGACTTTCTACCTCAAGTCCTAATGGAAGGGGATTCCCCTTCTAAACATTAATAACTTTGACACTCTCCCCTCCTCCCATCCCATCAATCATCACCAGATCTTCATTAAAGGTGTCATGTATTCTATTGTTAGTAGAGTACTACTAACTGTACATGTCTTCTTCAGTTTGTGTGCATTAAACTTAATATTTCATGTGGTAAAACTTTTTTTTTATAGTACTTTTGGGTGTCTTGCACGGATTAATTTGATTTCCATTATTTCTTATGGGGAAAATTAATTCGCCTTCCGATAATTTGGGCATACGATGAGCTCTCAGGGACGGATTAATATTGTATACCGGAGGTCCACTGTATATACTGGGAAAGCCTCTCATAGTGTTAGCACCCTCAAGATGCACGTAATTCCATTCTTTTTTTAATATAGTACTAGCTATCTCCAACCAAGGCAGGGTGATTCAAAAAAGAAGAAAACTTTATAAACTTTTCTTCTGTTTGCATTCAGTGATCATATAGAAGGGGTTACTAGCCCCTTGCTCACGGCATTTTAGTCGCCTCTTACAACACGGATAACTTATGGAGAAAATATTCTTGTCTACTTCCCCATGGAGACGAAAAGAAATAAATAAGAAAGTGTTTCTTCTTTCTCAGGTTACCTTGCCTTGGTGGGAGACAGTCAGTATTAAAAAACAAGAACTATTAAGAAAACAGAATAAAATGCAGTTGAGTGTGTTTTCATATGAATTCTACTTCTTTCCTTCTTTCAATACACTGGCCGCATCCCACCGAGGCAGGGTGGCCCAAAAGGAAAAACGAAAGTTTCTCCTTTTACATTTAGTAATACAGTGGACCTTCAGCTAACGATGGCATCCTCTAACGTTAAATCCAGCTAACGATATATTTTAACGCAAAAATTTTGCCTCAGCTTACGCTAAAAAACTCACCCTACGTGATTCGTTCGAGACGCGTCCAGTGTGGCCTGAGCGCGCCAGTGTTTACAAGCCAGCCAGTGTGGTGTCATCCAAGCATACAATCGGAACATTTCATATTATCACAGCGTTTTTAGCGATTGTACCTGCAAAATAAGTCACCATGGGCCCCAAGAAAGCTTCTAGTGCCAACCCTGCAGAAAAAAGGGTGAGAATTACTATGGATTTGAAGAAAGAGATTAAGAAAATGTGTGCAATGTGGGTTGAAGTGCAAACCTTTATGGATGAAAATCACCCTCACACAGCTATTGAAAGCCGTGCTGGTGATTATTACAATGACAATGTTATGGCCCATTTTAGGAAAGTCTTAAAGGAACGGGAGGTACAGGCCTCTATGGACAGACATGTTGTGCGACAGAGGTCCAGTGACTCTCAAGCTGGTCCTAGTGGCATTAAAAGAAGAAGGGAAGTAACCCCGGAAAAGGACTTGATACCTCAAGTCCTAATGGAAGGGGATTCCCCTTCTAAACATTAACAACTTCCACAGTCTCCCCTCCTCCCATCCCGTCAATCATCACCAAATCTTCAATAAAGGTAAGTGTCAGTTTGTGTGTATTAAAATTAATATTTCATGTGGTAAAAAAAAAATTTTTTCATACTTTGGGGTGTCTTGCACGGATTAATTTGATTTCCATTATTTCTTATGGGGAAAATTAATTCAGCTAACGATAATTTCAGCTAACGATGAACTCTCAGGAATGGATTAATATCGTTAGCTGAGGGTCCACTGTATATACAGGAGTAGGAGTTACTAGCCCCTTGCTCCTGGCATTTTAGTCGCCTCTTACAACACGCATGACTTACGGAGGAAGAATTCTGATCCACTTCCCCATGGAGATAACAGGAAATAAACAAGAACAAGAGCTAGTAAGAAAACAGAAGAAAACTCAGGTGAGTGTGTTTTCATATAAATTCCACTTCTTTCTTTCTTTCAACACACTGGCCGTATCCCACCGAGGTGGGGTGGCCCAAAAGGAAAAACGAAAGTTTCTCCTTTTACATTTAGTAATATATACAGTAGAAGGGGTTACTAGCCTCTTGCTCCCGGGATCTTAGTCGCCTCTTACAACACGCATGGCTTACAGAGGAAGAATTCTGTTCCACTTCCCCATGGAGATAAGAGGAAATAAACAAGAACAAGAACTAGAAATAAAATAGAAGAAAACCCAGAGGGGTGTGTATATATATGCTTGTACATGTATGTGTAGTGTGACCTAAGTGTAAGTAGAAGTAGCAAGATGTACCTGAAATCTTGCATGTTTATGAGACAGGAAAAAAAAGACACCAGCAATCCTACCATCGTGTAAAACAATTACAGGCTTCCGTTTTACACTAACTTGGCAGGATGGTAGTACCTCCCTGGGCAGTTGTTGTCTACCAACCTACTACCTAGGATAAATTCCACTTATCTTTAGCAATTTATTGCATCTTCATATTCCTCAAAAACATTTCAAGAGGTTCCTTTATTTTGCAGTTTAAAAAATGAAACCACAGAAATATCCCTACAGGGTCAAACCCCCAATAAACCACACACTGTTGCCAATAAAAACAGGATAACTATAATATAACTTAATAGTGAACAAAAACAACATAACTCACCGTATTGGTTCCTTCGACCATCTCAGGTTGCTTTCCAAAGCAGAACTGCTTCTTACCAGAATATATTTCATATATACCTTTGCCATTAAACACAGCTACGAGAGGCTTGTATTTCTTCAACTTCAAGCGAAGAATCTTGCTACCTGCCAACATAATATACTGGTCAACTCCAAAGTTAAATATGACAAAATGACAAATTGAGAGACCAGTTTTCTGTATATAAGAATGGTAACTTTTCAAATATTTTAGTTTGGCACAAAAAGTCATGGAAATAAAATTCAAATTTGTGTACAAATGACATGTAAATTACAAACAAGGAAAGTTTATTAATGATTGTAGAAAAGTGTGTTAAAACATGAGTGAATCAGAATTGAGGAAGTTGAGACAAGTGGTTTTAATGGCCGGACGTGCTTGTTGGAAAGTGAACACAGTAACATTTATGAAGGGATTCAGGGAAACTAATTAGCCAGACTCAAGTTCTGGAATTGGGAAGTAGAGCCTGTGCTCTTGAGGGGCGAGGATGTGGCAGTTCATAAGGTCATCTGAACTGTGATGTCAGTGCACTTTTGGCAAGATGGTGATTGAATGAATGATGGCAAATGTATTTTTTTTTTTTATGTGTCACCCTATCTTGGTGGGAGATAGTCAGAGTATTAAAAAATGCTAATCACCAGTAAACAAATATGAGCTTCCTATACATGCACAAAAATAAAATGAACACTCAAAACATGAATATATTGATAAAAAAATTTGACCTAAAATCATTTCTGTCTGAATATTTACAAAGATGATAACTGCAGACCAGCATCAGTAAGTAATTGGTTCCAAAGTGCCAACATCATAAGTGCAGACATCATCAACTGAAACATTGTAAATTAGAACATTGTAAGTTGGAACATCATCATGAACCTGCTGTATAAGGCTATGTTACTTTCGTCTGATTATTCGACAGAGAATTTAAAGGGTTTGAAACATAATCATCAAATAGAAGTAGAACTGACCCTTCCTCTAACTCAAATTATTACTGTCTCCTTACTGAGTTACCTCATTGAGTTAACAATGTCTTATTCAACTGTCTCCTTACCGAGTCACCTTAAGTTAACACCATCTTATTCAAATGTCTTCTTACTGAGTCACCTTAGGTTAACCATATCCTATACAACTGTCTCCCTACTGAGTCACCTTAAGTTAACACTGTCATTCAACTATCTCCTTACTGAGTTACTTTACTGATTTAACAATGTCTTATTCAACTCTTTCTTTACTGAATCACTTTACTGAGCTAACCAATAGCGTATTCAAAGCTTTAACTTTTTACTTAAAAAAATTAAGTGTGAACCTTCTTTGATTTCTTGACGTGAAAGATCTGCAGAGCCCCGCGTGGTGCGAGCGACCATGTTGGTAAACCCAATGCCATATTCCAGTAACCGGAAGTCATCGTATGCTGTGAAGGGTTCTGGGATAAGCCCTGATAAATACATGCATTTCCCTGGAATAAATAATTGAACTGGAGTTAAAGAAATCACGGTTGATTCAGGGAAAACTGCAAACATGGGTTATCCATCAGCATAACTAACATAACAGAATGTGTAGAGGTGTTGTATCACCCTTCTGGATTTAGTGCTTAGTCTGGTTATTATTATTTTTTTTTTAACAAGTTGGCCGTCTCCCACCGAGGCAGGGTGACCCAAAAAGAAAGAAAATCCTCAAAAAGAAAATACTTTTATCATCATGCAACACTTTCACCTCACTCACACATAATCACTGTTTTTGCAGAGGTGCTCAGAATACAACAGTTTAGAAGCATATATGTATAAAGATACACAACATATCCCTCCAAACTGCTAATATCCCGAAACCCCTCCTTTAGAGTGCAGGCATTGTACTTCCCATTTCCAGGACTCAAGTCCGGCTATATAAAAATAACCGGTTTCCCTGAATCCCTTCACTAAATATTACCCTGCTCAAACTCCAACAGATCGTCAGGTCCCAAATACCATTTGTCTCCATTCACTCCTATCTAACAAGCTTACGCACACTTGCTGGAAGTCCAAGCCCCTCGTCCACAAAACCTCCTTTACCCCCTCCCTCCAACCTTCTCAAGGACGACCCCAACCCCGCCTTCCTTCCCCAACAGATTTATACGCTCTCCGTGTCATTCTACTTTGTTCCATTCTCTCTAAATGACCAAACCACCTCAACAACCCCTCTTCAGCCCTCTGACTAATACTTTTATTAACTCCACACCTTCTCCTATTTTCCACACTCCGAATTTTCTGCATAATATTTACACCACACATTGCCCTTAAACAGGACATCTCCACTGCCTCCAACCGCCTCCTCTCTGCAGCATTTACAACCCAAGCTTCACATCCATATAAGAGTGTTCGTACCACTATACTTTCATACATTCCCTTCCTTGCCTCCATAGATTATTACGTATTATTATTATTATTATTATTATTATTATTATTATTATTACATATAGAATCTGGAATAAAATTAGCTAGGAATAAAAGTCATATGCACATTTTTAATTTTAAAATAATCAGAACCCTATATTTTGTACATTCTACACAATAAAAAAAATTGAATTATATAACACATTTAAGAATATTAAATAATTATATAATAACTGCAAATATTCCACCAGGAAAAGAAGAAAAACTATTGTTACTAGATCTTCAACTGGCTCTAAATGCCTCAATCCAACCAAACAAACAAAATTCAAAGAGCTTCAACAGGGAGGAGAGACCACAAATGTACACTGGGGAAACAATGGTGACATTTTATTACTATACTGCTAGTCAGTACCTTGCCAGCTGGGCTGTGGTTCATACGTTGGTTTGCGTGCGGCCAGCAGTAACAGCCTGATTGATCACGGGCTGGGCCATGGGGGGTGTTAACAATCAGAATACCTTCCAGGTATACTCCAGGTATAGGAGAAAGAAACTTGCCTCTGACATACCTTCAATGAGTTACAAGAGTTTTCCTACTCCCAGAGCCCAGCCATGAGCCAGGCTTATGACGACATTCAGGGGCAACCTGGACCATCAACTAATCACGCAGGAGCATAAAGGTAGGGAGCTGGTACGGTAAGTCCTCTACTTACGAACACGTTGAGAATCCCCAGAACATGTATTGTGTATAATATCATTATCATTATACACAATACAGAAGGTCCCCAACATGTTTGTAAGTTGAACACATCCTGTATTATGATTATTATACACAACAGCGTGTTGTAAGAGGCGACTAAAATGCCGGGAGCAAGGGGCTAGTACCCTCTTCTCCTGTATATATTACTAAATGTAAAAGGAGAAACTTTCGCTTTTCCTTTTGGGCCACCCTGCCTCGGTGGGATACAGCCGGTGTGTTGAAATAAAGATACACAACACAGAAAATTCTCAACATATTCATAAGTTGAGGACATACTCTATATGTACATACAAGAAGAGGACAGGGACTAGTTAATGGTCTAAGTGTGACAAAAACATCATCATCAGTTTCTGTCTCCTATGTGAGGGTTATTTGTGTACTGTTCCAGTCACTGTATCGTGATTTTTTTATTCTTTATTACTATACTCACAGAAAGACACCAAACTTGTAATGGATTTATACAGCACCTGGGTAATGGGAGGTGATCAGGTTTGATTCAAGAGGGAGGTAACTTCAATTTCTTGGATCAAGAGCTTTCCAGCAGCATCATGAACCCTCCCCTTCCTTTTGACAGAAATGTTTCCAAATAACACTGCATTAGAAAGTTTTTCTTTGCAGTGGTAAAACAGTGGAATGGGATACCCGATGTAGCAGTGTTGTAATCAAGGGCCCCTCATAGTAGGTTCCTTGATGCTGGTGAGAAGCTTTTGATCTAGACCCCTCATGGGAGGCTCCTTGATGCTGGTGAGGGGTTCAAATCATGGTAGGTTCCTTGATGCTAGTGAGAGGTTCTTGATCTGGACCCCTCATGGTAGGTTCCTTGATGCTAGTGAGAGGTTCTTTATCTGGACCCCTCACGGGAGGTTCCTTGATGTTGGTGAGGGGTTCTTGATCTGAACCCCTCATGAGAGGTTCCTTCATGCTGGTGAAGGGCTCGTGATCTAAGGAACTGGACCTGGGCTCCAATTCCTTGAATCAAGTCTAAATGCCTTCTATTTAATCAGGTGCAGTATGACCCCCACAGGTTTAGTGCTCCCCATGACTATAATAATAATTATTATAATAATTATATTATTATTAATTATAATAATAATAAATTAATAAATAGACTCGGACTTACGACGGGCTCTCTGAAGTTTCAGAAATTATCTAATTACCAGACACAAAAAGGAGATACAACAGGGATATCAGGAAAAAATTCAGCAGGAAAGTAAAGCAAAATGAGGTGAAGGATGACACAGTGGAAGCAAAAGTCAGGCAGGGGCTCAGAAACAGATACTACATAATGGCAAGGCCAATTCATGTCAGTTGCTGGAAAGTTACGAGGTGCCAAGAGCTGGATCCTCATTTGTATAGGTACAGTGGTACCACGAGTTTCGTCCATAATTCGTTCCAGAAGGCTGTTCGAGTGCCGTTACTGAACGAATTTGTTCCCATAAGGAATAATGTAAATTAGATTAGTCCGTTTCAGACCCCCAAAAATACACTTGCAAAAGCACTTACAATAATACAATTACATAACTGTTCGAGTTAGGAGCTGTATAAAACTCTGGGTACCGCTGTAATTAAAAATGGGTAGTTACCGCAAGCTTAGTTCTGGTCCAGTATCTACAGATAGATAATCAGAAAATATAAGTGAAATACCAAATAAGTGTCCGATACCGACTGTGTCCTGAGTGTATCCACTTATGTTCTTTCCTCCACAATGACACATACCATATTTAGTGGCATATAAGACACACTGCCATATAGGATTCACCCTAAATTTAGCATGAAATACACTGGAAAAATACGTATATATTCATTCTAAATAAAAAGAGGATAAATAAGTATACACGATATGATGTAGGGCGAAATGACAGTAGTTTGTTGGATTATGTATTGGTAGATAAAAGACTGTTGAGTAGACTTCAGGATGTACATGTTTATAGAGGGGCCACAGATATATCAGATCACTTTCTAGTTGTAGCTACACTGAGAGTAAAAGGTAGATGGGATACAAGGAGAATAGAAGCATCAGGGAAGAGAGAGGTGAAGGTTTATAAACTAAAAGAGGAGGCAGTTAGGGTAAGATATAAACAGCTATTGGAGGATAGATGGGCTAATGAGAGCATAGGCAATGGGGTCGAAGAGGTATGGGGTAGGTTTAAAAATGTAGTGTTAGAGTGTTCAGCAGAAGTTTGTGGTTACAGGAAAGTGGGTGCAGGAGGGAAGAGGAGCGATTGGTGGAATGATGATGTAAAGAGAAGTAGTAAGGGAAAAAAAGTTAGCGTATGAGAAGTTTTTAAAAGTAGAAGTGATGCAAGGAGGGAGGAGTATATGGAGAAAAAGAGAGAAGTTAAGAGAGTTGTGAAAGCAATAAAAAGAGAGCAAATGAGAAGAGTGGGTGAGATGTTATCAACAAAATTTTGTTGAAAATAAGAAAAAGTTTTGGAGTGAGATTAACAAGTTAAAAAAGCCTAGAGAACAAATGGATTTGTCAGTTAAAAATAGGAGAGGAGAGTTAATTAAATGGAGAGTTAGAGGTTTTGGGAAGATGGAAGGAATATTTTGAGGAATTGTTAAATGTTGATGAAGATAGGGAAGCTGTGATTTCGTGTATAGGGCAAGGAGGAAAAAACATCTTGTAGGAGTGAGGAAGAGCCAGTTGTGAGTGGGGGGGAAGTTCGGAGGCAGTAGGTAAAATAAAGGGGGTAAGGCAGCCGGGATTAAAGGGGGATAAAGATAGAAATGTTAAAAGCAGGTGGGGATATATTTTGGAGTGGGTTTGGGTTTGCAATTATTTAATAAATGTATGGAAGAGGGTAAGGTACCTAGGGATTGGCAGAGAGCATGCCTTGTTCCTTTGTATAAAGGCAAAGGGGATAAAAGAGAGTGCAAAATTATAGGGGGATAAGTTGTTGAGTGTACCTGGTAAAATGTATGGTAGAGTTATAATTGAAAGAATTAAGAGTAAGACGGAGAATAGGATAGCAGATGAACAAGGAGGCTTTAGGAAAGGTAGGGGTGTGTGGACCAGGTGTTTACAGTGAAACATATAAGTGAACAGTATTTAGATAAGGCTAAAGAGGTCTTTGTGGCATTTATGGATTTGGAAAGGCGTTTTTGACAGGGTGGATAGGGGGGCAATGTGGCAGATGTTGCAAGTGTATGGTGTAGGAGGTAGGTTACTGAAAGCAGTGAAAAGTTTTTTTCGAGGATAGTGAAGCTCAAGTTTGAGTATGTAGGAAAGAGGGAAATTTTTTCCCCGTAAAAAGTAGGCCTTAGACAAGGATGTGTGATGTCACCGTGGTTGTTTTTTAATATATTATAGATGGGGTTGTAAGAGAAGTAAATGCGAGGGTCTTGGCAAGAGGCGTGGAGTTAAAAAATAAAGAATCACACACAAAGTGGGAGTTGTCACAGCTGCTCTTGCTGATGACACTGTGCTCTTGGGAGATTCTGAAGAGAAGTTGCAGAGATTGGTGGATGAATTTGGTAGGGTGTGCAAAAGAAGAAAATTAAAGGTGAATACAGGAAAGAGTAAGGTTATGAGGATAACAAAAAGATTAGGTGATGAAAGATTGAATATCAGATTGGAGGGAGAGAGTTATGGAGGAGGTGAACGTATTCAGATATTTGGGAGTGGACGTGTCAGCGGTGGGTCTATGAAAGATGAGGTGAATCATAGAATTGATGAGGGAAAAAGAGTGAGTGGTGCACTTAGGGTCTGTGGGACAAAGAACTTTGTCCTTGGAGGCAAAGAGGGGAATGTATGAGAGTATAGTTTTACCAACGCTTTATATGGGTGTGAAGCATGGGTGATGTGTTGCAGCGAGGAGAAGGCTGGAGGAAAGGGGAGAGTCATGTCTGAGGGAAATGTGTGGTGTAAATATAATGCAGAAATTTCGTATTTTGGAAGTTGGGAGGAGTGCGGGATACCAAAACTGTTGCCCCAGGGGGGCTGGGGAAAGGGTTGTTGAGGTGGTTGGCATGTAGAGAGAATGGAGCAAAACGGGAATTGACTTAAAGAGGTTGAGTCTGTAGGGGAAAGGGAAAAGGCGGGGAGGGGTCGGCCCTGGAAAGGGTTTGGAGGGGGGGGTAAAGGGGGGTTTTTGTGTGCGAGGGGCTTGGACTTCCAGCAGGCATCGTGAGCGTGTTTGATAGGATGAATGGAGACAAATGGTTTTTAATATTTAGTGCTGTTGGAGTGTGAGCAAAAAAACATTTTGAAAGGGATTCAGGGAAACCGGCGGGGGACTTGAGTCCTGGGGTGGGAAGTACAGTGCCGCACTTGAAGGGGGGGTGTTAAGTTGCGTTTTAAAAAATGTAGTGTAAAGCACCCTTCGGCAAGACGTGATGGGGTGAATGATGGGAAAGTCTTTCTTTTTCGGGGGCCACCCCGCCCTTTGGGGGGAACGGGCCGGGGGTGATAATAAATAATATTCTAAAGTTTCTGTTTGTTAAACTAGAACCCCCCAAAACTGCCTTATGTGGGCACAGGGGGACTTTTTGGGGGGTCGATTTTGAAAGAAAAAATGTGCCTTTTATGCTGCAAAATCGCTATGTTACAGATTTAAGAAATTAAGTTACCACAGAAATGGTTGCCCGGTCCGCATAAAGATGTCCTTGTAGCAGCAATGAGTCCTGGTTTATGCCAACTGATTTAAAAATTTACAATTGAGAATTGGTAACAAAATACATCGGATTTACACAATTGTTTATGATTATTTATAAGAAGTGCTAAATCCTTTTGGGTTACTCAATGAAAGGAGCAGTGGAGGCTCAATCCTCCATCTGCAGAGGTGTAGCCCTGTATCTGACAAGTGAGGTAGGTAATCCTAATTAATTTTTTTTTTAACACGCCAGTTGTCTCCCACCGAGGCAGGGTGACCCAAAAAAGTGAACAATGAAAGTTTTTCTTCTTTTTACATTTAGTAATTTACATAGAAGAAGGGATTACTAACCCTTTGGTGCTACTGAATGCTCCAGACACTATAGTCGCCTCTCAGTGGTGCATACATTTGTTTTAAAGGACCCACTTGTCCAAAGTATACCAAATTAATATATAATCAGTTTTTCAGAGCATAGCTGTATAGAAAGTAACTGTACACAACATATATATATATAACAGCATTTTTACATAGTTGACATGAATATTTGACTGGTTCTCAATATGTACAGTTTGTGCATTAGAAGATAATCATGCACAGTGCAAAATGTTTCAACATTACAACATTCATTTTTATATACATATACACACTATGCTGGTGTCTTTTTTCTGTCTCGTAAACATGAAAGATTTCAGGTACGTCTTGCTACTTCTACTTGCACTTAGGTCACACTACACATACATGTACAAGCATAATATATATACACACACCCCTCTGGGTTTTCTTCTATTTTCTTTCTAGTTCTTTTATTTGTTTATTTCCTCTTATCTCAATGGGGAAGTGGAACAGAATTCTTCCTCCATAAGCCATGCGTGTTGTAAGAGGCGACTAAAATGCCGGAAGCAAGGGCCAAGTAACCCCTTCTCCTGTATAAATTACTTAATTTAGAAAGAGAAACTTTTGTTTTTCTTTTTGGGCCACCCTGCCTTGGTGGGATACGGCCGGTTTGTTGAAAAAAAAAAAAAATATACACACTGCCAATACATGAGCACACACACACACTGCACTATAAGTGCTTTAACACTGTAAGAGCGGTAAAGATGTAGAATTCACTAAGCAATGACAAAGTAGAAAAGCGGCATGTGAGGTTTTTAGGTATAAATCAAAGGAAATAAAACCAAGACGTTATATTGTAAGCTCCCCAAAAACTTATTAATATTTTTAAGTTAAAATTTCTCTTAAGTTACTCAGTGAACTGAAAACAAAGTAAATGTTATGGGAACTTACAACAAGTATTTCCATATTTGGTCCCAAATGATCAGGTAAAACTTTCTTGGCTACTTCCTCCTCTGGTACACCATCGAACCGGACCACCTTCTTCCTTTGCTTTGGAAGAGGCAAACCATCAGGTCCTAGTATAGGTGCTGGCCTCTTTTTTTTATCGGATGGTGATTTCGTTTTTGGCTTTGATCTGCAAAAAAAATTGGAAGCAACAATCTAATTTTCTGTCATAAAGCAGTTAATTTGATTCAACTGCATCATTGTAAATATTTTTAATCTCTTAATTGACTTCAGACAGACTGAACTCTTACTTTATTTTCCATAATTATTCCCTTCATAGTGGAGGTAAGAGGATTGCCTTGATGCTGGGGAAGGGCTCTTGATGCAAGGAAAAGGAGCTACACTTCCTTACCTTGGTTCAAACTTGATTATCTCCCATTCCTCATGTGCTGTATGACCTATCTGGGTTTAGTGCCTTCCCAGAAACAGTTTAAACCTATTTCAGTCACAGTGGAAAAAGCAATACAACAAAATTAATAAAGAAATCTCACTAATACTGCGGGTTAGGCTCCAGACTGCTGCCACAAAGTGAATAATGCCTTAAGTAATCACAGCCTTTTCTTTCACTTACCAGTGCAAATAAAAGCCTAAGTATGTTTAGACTATCATTTATTAAGTGTGCAATGGCACTAGGCCTAAAAAAAAATTATGCAAAAGTAAAAATAATAAATAAAAACATTTTGAAAATTGCCAAAAACCATCTTAGGAGCAAGGCAAGAACCAAAAATAAACATGAATATGACTGAAAAGAGCTATGTAAGCTAAGCACTCTAAAGTGAGCATCATATTAATGGTTTATGCCTATATTTAATACTTACTCATTTTTCTCAAGCTTAATTTTTGGCTTTCTTCCCTTCTTCTTCTTCACATCAGCATTTTCTTGCAGTGGTGAACCTTTGTTAAGTCCATCCAGAGAATGGCCCTCGACCTTCCAGCCAGCAGTGCCATTAAGGAGGCCGTGTTCATGGCCAAACATGGCAAAATTCAGCTGACTGCCGACGTCTGAATGACCAAAGTATGGGCTCGGGTGCAGATGAAGATTAATTTGCTCATGTTGAGGATAAAATTCTTGTTTGACACGGAAATTCTGAAACACTTTTGCTTCTTGACTCTCCCCATCCTGCCAGTCACACTTCTCCTGCTTGACACTGTCAGATAAGAGGAAAAGATAAGACAAGTTCTGCTCTGGATAAAAGTATTTGTAATCAGGGGAAAAGTATACACAAAAGCTCTCAACTACAGTACAGGTGCTCCTCAACTTACGATGGTTTGACTTACGATATTTCAACTTTAGGCTGGTGCAAAAGCAAACTTCTGCTCCACACATAAGCATTACATTCTTACATCCACCTATACTTCTTCAACTTTCACATCATTACTTGTACTCTCTCTAGCCCACCTTTCTCTCAACAGCTACTTATATCTTCCCTCATCTTCTTTGCTTCCATTCTCCTTGTGCTCCATCTACCCATTACTCTCAACATAGCTACCACTCAATAATGATCTCACAGATCTCTCACCACTTTAAAAATCTTCACATCAAGTTCATTTGAGTTGTGATGCTTTCACACTTCTGGCAAGACAGCACAACAATGAGCAGATATTAATTCTTGCATTAAAAACTTATACCACTTTTCCCCACCTCAACCAGCTTAGTGAAAAGGTCTTCTGGTCAGATATTATGAAGAGATGTGTGCATTTTATTAAGTATAAAAACAAAAGTTTAGCAATTTAAGACTGTGGAATTAGTAATACACAAATAATGCAAAGGAAATTTAAGGAGAGAGATATATAATGGCAAAAGTATATTAAGACCATCATACATTTTAAAAAGAAAAATATAAATAGGAATATAAAATAATTACATTTAATTTTTCATCTCTATCAAGAGGATTCAAATACTTTATACACAAAATACAATAATTAAAAATACAATGTATTCAATTATAAAAAAGTGTCATTAATTCAATAACTGCAATATATATATTTTCCAAATAGAGAACAAATAATAAAACAATAGGAAATAAGTGGAAAAGCACTTACCCAAGCAATGCTATCTCTGAATCATGGAAGCCATTTTGGTGGTGCTGGTGTTCTGGAGCAATCTGCATCGGTGTTAACGTGGTAAAGCCATCAGTAGGCTGTGCTGGCTGCATTGGAGTTAGAGACGTCAGACCATCCATAGTGTTCCCGGCATCCCTGAGCAAAAAATTGTATAAACCTTAAAAGAAATGTCTTTTTGTTTTTTTTTCTGGAACTCAGGTCATCTCCCACCAAGGTAGGGTGGCTCAAAAAAGAAGAAACACTTCAAAAATTTTTACATTTAGTAATTTATACAAGAGGAGGGGTTTCTAGCCCCTTGCTCCCAGCATTTTAGTAGCGTTTTACTACATGCCTAGCCTACTGAGGAAGGATCATTTAAAAATTTACCTAGAAAATGTTTACTCAACCAATATAGTAACACTCAAGAACGATCGGGGTAAGTTCACCTCTAAATAATGCAACTTTCTATATTATTACGCTATTGACAATTGTGTTTAATACATTTATAAACAATGCAGTGACTACTTATCATTATGCATGAACGTACTGTAATCAGCAAGTGCCGTAACAATGGCTTTCCTATGTAGTCTTCATTTAAAAGCAAGCTTCTATGCAATCATAAATTTTTATCAGATTCAAATCATTTTAGCACTAATATGACTTATAAAAATGCACTTTCAATCCATAAAAAAAAATGAAAATCTTGCCATATACACAAAGAAATTTGAATTTCTTGGTATGCCATGATTAAGGGGTTAAAAAAGATGGACTAAATATTAAAACATGATGAGAACTAATATATACAGGAGGGCCATGTTCATACAGCTTTAAATAAAGACTCAATCATCCTTCTTTTTTTCTCTTGTAATATTTTCCTAAATACTGGAACAGTTATTGGCATCTTATTTTTTTTTTTTAACACACTGGCCATTTCCCACTGAGGCAAGGTAACCAAAAAGAAGAAACACTTTCATCATCACTCACTCCATCACTGTCTTGCCAGAGACGTGCCGATGCTACAGTGCAAAAACTGCAACCCATCTTATCCTCTAATGAAAACTGCATGCCCTTTTTGTAATACTATTATTGAATCTTTCAGCATGCAGTCCGGTTCCACAATTTTTTGTCACAGTTTCGTGATTTTTAGACTAAATTCCATGTCTGTGTGAGGATACCTGCAACTTACTATTATTGAAAAAAAAAATATACATCTCAGAAAGAAAAACATAGTACTGTAGAATAATTGATAATTGTTGACTTACATATTGAAATACGTGTGACTGCTATCATTTTGAAGGACGGTGTAGGTCGAGCTGACGGCTTCTGGCTCCATCCACCATCGTACTGGCTGAGAGGTGAATTTGCGTTGTTTAATTTCAATTGGCCGCCCAGGCATAGGCTTAATACTTTATTAATCAGAGAGGGAAGTGCTAAACCTGCAAGGGGTCAAACCACACATAGGGAACAGGAGGTAATTAGGTTCAATCCAAGGAAGAGGAATATACACCTCTCTGAGGAACAAACGATTTACCTTTCGGTTGTTTCTATTAAGGTTAATTTGGTTGGCACAGAGGGTCAAACAAGCAGAATTTTCTTAAAAGATTAATCTCTCTAAAAATTGTATCATATCCACTTGATATGAGAAAGCATAACAGAGCTCGTACCTGTTGCTCCAGATTTTCCTTTCCTTCTCTGGTTAGTTCGCTTATATTCTGCAGTTGTGAGTCTCTGCTCTCAGGGTAGTCAGAAGCATAATCATCATAAGCATCTGATGTTTGTGCAACCTATAAGAAAAAATTCAAAAGCATATAACCTAAATATGACCAGTAATACAAGAATCCCCCCCCCCCCCAAAAAAAAAAAAACTCATGCATCAGTAATATTTCCATATTCACAGAGATGTTTATCTAATTAAAATAACAGAAAGTGATAAGTGAAAAGCTATGTACAGGCCACCACTTATACATCTGATCATGTCTCCCTTCATTCTTCGTATTACATGTGAATGTAATTTATTATTATTGTTTTTATTATTACCTGTAGATGTTTGCAAGTTTGTACAGAAGAGCAAAAAATTTAATTCGTAGTACCAAAACAAGTCAAGAAATATACTCTGAGAGTTTGGTATGTGGAGATTATGAGGGATGTAGGGAGGCCATGAAGAATTTACAGGAATGAAATACTGTACAAGGCTTCAGACTGATAGGCGGAGACTTAAGATCCATGGTCAGAACCAAGTGAAAATATCAGTAGGCATACTTTAATAGATTTACTATTACAGGTCCCATTCACACACTGCTAGCCTTACACTGTTTGTTGCTCTATCCACGACTCACACACGTGATCTGTGCCTGATGGTGTGTTGTGGTAGTGGTGTGTTGTGGTGGTTTTATGTTGTAGTGGTGGTGTGTTGTGGTGGTGGTATGTTGTAGTGGTGGTGGCATGTTGTGGTGGTGGTATGTTGTGGTGGTGGTGGTGGTTTGTGGTGGTGGCATGTTGTGGTGTGTTGTGGTGGTGGTTTGTGTTGCGGTGGTGGTTGTGTTGTGGTGGTGGTGTGTTGCAGTGGTGTGTTGTGGTGGTGGTGTGGGTTGTGGTGGTGTGTTGTGGTGGTGGTGTGTTGTGGTGTGGGTTGTGGTGGTGGTTGTTGTGGTTTTGTTGTGGTGGTGGTGTGTTGTGGGTGGTGTGTTGTGGTGGTGTGTGTGTTGGTGGTGGTGTGTTGTGGTGGTGGTGGTGTGTTGTGGTGGTGGTGGGGTTTTTGTGTGGTGTTTTTGTGTGGTGGATGTTGTGGTGTTGTGTTGTGGTGGTGGTTGTGTTGTGGTGGTGGTTGTGTTGTGGGTGGTGGTTGTTTGTGGTGGGGTTGGGGTTGGGTGGTGGTGGTGGTGTTTTTGGGGGGTGTGTGTGTTGTGGGGGTGGTGGTGTTGTGGTGGGGGTTGTGGTGGTGGGGGTTGTGGTGGTTGTGTTGTGGGGTGGTGTGTTGTGGTGGTGGTGTGTTGTGGTGGTGTGAGTGGTGGTGTTGTGGTGGTGGTTGTGTTGTGGTGGTGGTTGTGTTGTGGTGGTGGTTGTGTTGTGGTGGTGGTTGTTGTTGTGGTGGTGTTGGGTGTTGTGGTGGTGGTGGTTTTTTGGTGGTGGTTGTGTTGTGGTGGTGGGTTTGTTTGTGGGGGTTTGTGTTGTGGTGGTGGTTGTGTTGTGGTGGTGGTGTGTTGTGGTGGTGGTGTGTTGTGGTGGTGGTGTGTTGTGGTGGTGGTGTGTTTGGTGGTGGTGTGTGGTGGTGGTTTTGGGGTGGTGGGGGGTGTTGTGGGGGGTGGTGTTGTGGTGGTGGTGGTTTGGGGGTGTTGTGGTGGTGGGGGTTGTGTTGTGGGGTGGTGTGTGTGTGGTTTTGTGTTGTGGTGGTGGTTTTGTTGTGTTGGGTTTGGTGTGTTGTGTGGTGGTTTTGTGGTGGTGGTTGTGTTGGGGGTGGTGGTTGTGTTGTGGTGGTGGTTGTGTTGTGGGGTGTGCTGTGGTGGTGGTTGTGTTGTGGGTGGGGGTTTGTGCTGTGGTGGTGGTGGTTGTGCTGTGGTGGTGGTTGTGCTGTGGTGGTGGTTGTTGTTGTGGTGGTGGTGGTTGTGTTGTGGTGGTGGTGGTGTTGTGGTGGTGGGGTTGTGTTGTGGTGGTGGTGGTTGTGTTGTGGTGGTGGTGGTTGTGTTGTGGTGGTGGTGGGTTGTGTTGTGGTGGTGGTGGTGGTTGTGTTGTGGTGGTGGTGGTTGTGTTGTGGTGGTGGTGATTGTGTTGTGTGGTGGTGGGGTTGTGTTGTGGGGTGGTGGTTGTGTTGTGGTGGTGGTGGTTTTTTGGTGGTGGTGGTTGTGTTGTGGTGGTGGTGGTTGTGTTGTGGTGGTGGGGTTGTGTTGTGGTGGTGGTTGTGTTGTGGTGGTGGTTGTGTTGTGGTGGTGGTTGTGTTGGGGTGGTGGTTGTGTTGTGGTGGTAGTGTGTTGTGGTGGTGGTGTGTTGTGGTGGTGTGAGATTTTCTCACACCACCACATTACACTAATGGGGAAGCACTAAACTCATAGGGTTCATACAATGCCTATAGGAAATGGTAGGCATTCAGGCTTGACACAAGGAAAGAGAAGAGCAGGTCCAGATCCTTGGATCAAAAGCCCATCGACAGATTCAAGGAGCCTCCCTTGAGGGGGAACACACCTCAAACTGCTCCATATGTTTGTCATCATCCAGCGAAGCCTCAAAGTCTTGATCATAAATGTTGCTGTCCTCCTCCTCATCCTCACTGCTGGGTGCTGGTGGTTTGACCTCAGGCACCAGTGTCACATCAACCCACTCCTTATCCTTCATGATCTCCAGGCCCAGGGCTCCACGCTCGTTCTCAGGCACGTCTTCAGAGGTTGGAGGTTTGGCGGCCATTTTTGCCTGTATTATGATACAAATTTATTCATCACCAAAAAAATATGCAGTGTTTGCATTTCTTGCTTAATAAAAGTTACCGCATTAATCCTAATGCATTTGTATTAATTTTTGTAATAAACTGGCTGTTTCCCGTCGAAGTAGGGTGAGTGACCCAGTCAAGAAGAAACACTTTCACCATCACTCACTTCATCCGTCTTGCCAGAGGGGTGCCGATACTACAGCTCAAAACTGCAAATATCTCCGCCCCAGGCACTGTACTTCCCACCTCTAGGACTCATCAAGTCTTCTGCCAAAGTAGGTGACCCAAAATAAGGAAACACACTCGTCATTATTGTCATTTTTTAACATTAAATGGTGTCTCCCACTAAGGCACAGTGACCTAAAGGAAGCACGTTTACCATCACTCATTCAACAGCTGTCTCGCCATAAGTGTACAGGCATCACAAATGGCCAGTCCTATGCCTAGTGTTGAAACTTTATCAAAAACTTACCTTAAGCTTGGAAGGAAGATGATTTACAAGATGAGTGTACAAGTCACTCTCCACAGGACATCGACCCAGAATGTATGCAATCCAACAAGCTTTGCATCTGTTTTTGGAGTTATCTCCAAGCACATAACAACTGAAAACAGAGAAATATTTCATATATTTCATAATGTATTATTACCTAAATATCTTATTCTAAAATAAAAATCAATGATGAGAAATCACTGAGGCCAAAAAATGAAACATAAATAAGAGAGATCTGCACAATTCAGCCTTAGTCCAAGACCTTACTCTGAAGGTTATTTAAGTGCTGATCTGCACAACAGTGTGTGAAACATGAATATCCTTTGTCCTATTACTTCATATAAAAACAACTTGTTTGTAAGCTGAAACACCATAAACAAATCTTGTTTGTAAGTTGAGACACCAACAATGCATTGTGTTTGTAAGTTGAAACACCAAAATTGCAAGCTGGGAAACCCCTGTATTCTACATCAAAGTACAGGGGTTACATAATCTATCTCACACACACAATAATCCAAACAAAATCCACTAATTACTATATACAGTACCATATATACCACATCTTTCAGTTTTACATTACTGTATAATACAGGAGGACCCCGGATATACAGCATCTCTTTCTGGTGTTCCACGTTATCAGTGACTTTTCAGCTTAGCCATTGCTCATTATTGTTCCACCCACCAGTGACTTATGCCCAAAGGTGGAACATAATGAACAATGGCTCAATTTGGAGCCACTGAAAACGTGAAACACCCAAAGAGGTATTGTACATGTGGGGCCCTCCTGGAGCTTAAAAACTAATACAGCCTCTCCTCACTTAGCATCATGCTCATTTACTGACGCCTCAGACTTACAACAGGTCTCTGACTATTATTCATACCTGAATAATGTAGTATATTAGAGCTGATTTCCTCCATTCTATTTATTTCAATAAACAGTACGTACACTACTGTATAAACATTTAAAAATACACCAGAAATGTTTTAAATGGTGCAAAAGTGACATTAAAACAATATCAAAGATGGTTGACACATACTAACATTATAGTATGCTCCTCACTTAGTGACGAATTCGTTTAATGACATGGTTTTAGGAACAGAACTCCATCATTAAGTGAGGAGAAGCTGTACTACCCACTGGCAACACCTACCTGCCATCATCCTTACAGCGTAATATACATGGCTGCCTCTTGAACTTCTGATAACAATGTCGACATGCTTCACATGCTACTACTGTTCCTCCCATGCGTGTTACACCTCTGTGGATCGAGTAATAGCGAATCTCCTTGCAGATTCCACAGTTCACTCTTACTCTCTTGGCTGCAGCTTTGCCCTCTTCTGTACCTATAAGCACATGAGAGACAAAACTTAAATATCACAAAATATGAAGTCTGTTATATATAGTATTTTATTATTTTGGACATTTTCCATAAAAGCAAAAGGGAGATGGGTGTAAATAAAAAAAAATTTGAACATGACTCACTACTTAGTTGCCTTTTCTGAGAGACACAAACATCACAGTTCAGTGATGATTCACTAAACTATAACATTCTCACACATTATATTTCTCACTTCCAAAACTCAACTTCAGCTAATCAGTTTCTCTGAATCTATTCAAAGATTCCAACAACACTTCAGAAACCACTCATCCCCACTCCAGTCAAACACACTCGCTCTGCTATATGTTCAAGACACTACCTAACAAAACCTCTTTCACATCTCCACCTAGCCCTTCATGCTTTCTTTCCACCTCAGATTCATACAACCTCTTATCAACCTATCCTCCTCCATTCATGTTACATGACCAATGGTACAAGTCAGACGAAACGTCATCAAAAGTTTCATTCTCTTATGTGCGAGTTATTTGTGTACACGAGCATAAGTAAAACATATACAAATGACTTACTTATGACACTGAGATATGAAGGCATAAGGACAGCTGGTATCCTCAAATTAGCCTCATTAGATTCCATAATCTTTCCTTTTATCCCAACTGCTGGTCCCTTGATGAAAGTAATTTAGCTTCCAACCTACAAGAAAAATGAAGATGGAGATATGAAACCTTGTTATTTTGTTACATTTAACTTCCTTTTTCTAAATTCAGCTGTTAAACTCTGTAAAAAAATCAAATTTAGAAATAAAATTTCACGTTTGCAAGTCAATTCTGTTATGAGGAGTTACCCTCTTAATGAGACAATGAAATTTACATTTATGGGACTACAACATAAGAAACAGAATTAAATTTAAGAGTATATGTACTGACCCAATACAACATAACCTTATTTAATAACATTCAATTTAACTTAACCTGACCTAATTTAGTCCAATGTCTGGGATTAAAGGAGAAACAAGAGAAAAACATTCCCAAAATGCTAAGCAGAGTAAGACACCCAAATTCATCATGACTGAAGACCTACCTCTCTCACTGATCAAAATCTGCAGTGAGGGGGTAAAAAAGGAACCAAAAAGCAAAGACAAGACAAACGATATTTGAGGGACTGTGCCACCAATGGCTATAGGACAGCAATATTTCCATACAGCACCAAGGATAGTTCAAGGCAGCTTTACCTAAAGTTACCTGAACTGAACTATTTTAGGCCAAAGTAGCCCCCAAACAAATGAGTGGACTTATGCCAGTTGCGTGTGGACATATTATTCAAGACTATTCAACTGCCTCCCAGCATACATGAAGGGGATTAGCAATAGACCCCAACCTATCTTCAAGAGGGAACTGGACAGGCACCTAAAGTCAGTACCTGACCAGCTGGGTTGTGGTTCATACATTGGCTTGCATGCAGCTGTCAGTAAAAGTCTGGGTGAACAGGTCCTAATCCATGATGAGGTCTGGTTATGGACTAGGCATCAGGGGCATTGGCCACCAGAACCGGGTATTGCTTGAGCATCAGTGACTAATTTCTCCCAGTCTCCATGAGATGCTTCTCATCTTATTCTGTTCTCTGAGTACACCAACAGAGGAGCACCATTTATCAGCTCCATTTCTCTGCTCTGAAGACATTTCTTTAGCAGTTCTGGTGGGAAGCTGGTTACTGTACTTAGGTGAGGGTGTAGGTGTCCTGTTCTGCTGGGGCTTAGACAAGGGAATGCAACTGACCCAACAGGGAATTTTTTATTCCAGTTTCTATTTGCAAGATGAATTTTTGTTCCCTTTTCTGTCATCGCCCAGCTTTGGGCAATATTTCTTCCCTATACACTGGGAAGCAATGCTCAATACTATGCAACCTGCCAGATAAAGATAAAGAAATGAAGATGAAGAAGATGAAGAAGAAGAAAAGATGAAAAAGAAGAACCGCTGAGTGAGATTTACATGCACAGTTGGGCATCACGAAAGATCCTGTATCCATACCTCTTCTGCCCTGAAAAAATCATAAAAAATTATTGTGATTTGTATGTACATAATCACTTGTAAGACTGTCCTCCATAAAACAAAAAACAAGGATACAAAAGAACCATCAATCATAAAGTGAAGCAACAGTACAGAATCAAAGAACTCCCCCCCAATAGAAATAAGCCAGACAGTCTGCTGGCACACATACACTCAGTGGCTTATCCTGGCTTACTAACCCTGGGGTTAATCCAGACAAAATCTTCCACCCCAGCACTGGGAGACTCTCCTGGGGTTGCATCCTGGGCAAGATCAAAGACACCCTTCCCCCCCAATGGAAATAAACCAGACATAGTAGCTTTATTAGACCATCCTGGTTAATAACCCTCTGGGTTAAAAACCCAAATAAAAAATCCCGAGCCAGGAAATTTAACTGACATCATCCTTATGTCTGAAGCAACACAGAAATTACTACCAATCCCAGTTGAAATCCCAGGAGAAAAATCAACACATATACACCAAACATAACAATCACATTACTCCTCAAAACAAAACAAAAAAAACAATCCACCCCTCAAAAAAAAATTTTAAGTGACCAAAATTCGAGACAAAAACATTTTCACTGGCAATTTCCCCTGGGTAAAAACCCCGAAAAACCGGCAATTTAGGGCATATATTTAACCCTCCTAGGCACCGAGGTGGTTCAGGGGCTCACTTACTATGTGACTTTTGGGTGAAAGCTCCCAAAAATCGAAGAGGAGAGCGCTAAATCATTAAAAACCACCGTCGATACATCAATGTGGACTCAGAGACCAGCTTGTAAACAAACAGCCGCAGCGTTCACAAACATCCAAAAAATTCACAAAAATATATATAAATCCCATTTATCCGCATCTCCACCCCTACACAAACTATAAAAAATTAACCCTGCTCATTTCCTCTCTAAAAATTGCGTCATTACTACTTATTTTGAGAGTAAAGATAGTGGGTGGTAATAAAGCAAGCGGGAGATTTGAACCGTGGTAATACATAATTAACTTAATTGGGCTTTATTAAGTAAGTAAGTGAATAAGTGAGTTTATTCAGGTACAGATACACATAAATACACTTACACAAGTTAGCATACATGGTACTATATATGTAAATTACCTCGGATGACCTAAAAAAAATGGTCAGACAAAGTGACTTATTTCCACTGGGCTCATTAATAAAATACATTTAAATGCTGGAATAAATATGTATAGAGTATGTGTTAGTGCCATATTTTTATAGGTCCTAAGTAGTACTAGATCGTGAAAAATTACCCTGGGATAACTTAATAACTCCAATAAACATTTTTTTTGCCACTAAAGATTACCCAGCAAAGCCGGAAAGCCTTTATTTCAAGCTATGATAACACAATAAAGCCCCATAACTTTAATTTCATCTTAGGATAACACCCCAAAAGTCAGATTTAGTAATTTAAACCCCAGATAAGCCAGCAAAGCCAGATATAGTATAAACCTTATTCTACTATAATCAAGCAAAGCCGGATAGTAGTCACATCCAGCTAGTATAATGTAAGAGGGATAAATGCTGGGGTATAAATGCCCACTGGGTGGGGGGAGAAGCCGGGGAGGGATGTGGTAAAGACGGTCGATTTCTTAGATTTTTTCTGACTGTGTGGAGGTCCGCCATCTTTGTTTGGTTCACTGACTCTTGACATCAATATACTCCAGCATTCCATTATTGTGTTGCGCATGCTCCAATACTACCTCCAACGCCGTCTCCAACACTGCCTCCAAAACTACCACCAACACTACCTCCAACACTACCACTACTCTAACACTACCTCTACCTCTAACACTACCTCTACCTCTAACACTACCACTATCTCCAACACTATCTTCAACACTACCTCCACCACTACCTCCAACACTACCTCAAACACTATCTTCAATACTACCTCCAACACTACCTCAAACACTATCTTCAATACTACCTCCAACACTACTTCAAACACTATCTTCAATACTACCTCCAACACTACCTCAAACACTATCTTCAATACTACCTCCAACACTACCTCCAACACTACCTCAAACACTATCTTCAATACTACCTCCAACACTACCTCAAACACTATCTTCAATACTACCTCCAACACTACTTCAAACACTATCTTCAACACTACCTCCACCACTACCTCCAACACTACCTCAAACACTATCTTCAATACTACTCCACACTACCTCAACACTATCTTCAATACTACCTCCAACACTACTTCAAACACTATCTTCAATACTACCTCCAACACTACCTCAAACACTATCTTCAATACTACCTCCAACACTACCTCAAACACTATCTTCAATACTACCTCCAACACTACTTCAAACACTATCTTCAATACTACCTCCAACACTACTCAAACACTATCTTCAATACTACCTCCAACACTACTTCAAACACTATCTTCAATACTACCTCCAACACTACCTCCAACACTGCCTCCATCACTTCCCACAATCGCCCTGTCATCATTGTCTTATTTCAACTATTGTTTGGTAATAACTCACCACTACCATCTTACTCTAGTCTCTCTGAACGCTATACTTCCTGAAATATTATTCCACACATATCCTTGTCTCCAAGCTTCATGCTTTCTCAAGCTTCCAGTAGCTTCTTTGTTACTTTTTCTCCTCCTCCTGCAGATCTGCATGACCCTGGTGGGTTTAGCGCTTACTTTTGATAATAATAATAATAGTAATAATCGTCTTCCAACTCCTTTTTTTCCATTCCTCTTTACTGTTGGTAGCCCTCTGGGAATATCACATTTGTTATTATTCCGGAGAGTTTCGTCTCTGTAATATCTATTTTGTCTGGGTTTGCCTCTGCTACTCTTTCTTTTCTGACTTAACATGTTTTAGTGACGCTGTTTACATTATTGTTGTGCACTTTGAGTCTTCTGTCTCTTATTGTTCCTTGGGTGAACTACTGTCTTCCTTCAGGATATACTGGGGGAAGGATCTCTGTGCAGTGTTGAGGCCTGACATGAGTTCATTCCCTCTGAGAGACAGCCAGATCCCTGTTGCTTTCCTCCTTTGCTGTCTTCTCTTTACCAGTGGCTGCCTTTTTTATTTTCTTTCCTCTGTCATCCTGTCTCCCTTGACATAAACAGCATCGAATAAGTGAGGTTCATTTAGATTTGATTTCCTTCCCGTGGGTGGATCCCTTGTAATGTTGAGGTACAGTCCTTGGACCCCTTGTTTCCTGCACCATAATGGCAGCATCTGTAATGTTGAGGTACAGCCCCTGGACCCATTATGTACTTATGTGATGTTGAGGTACAGTCCCTGGACCCATTATGTACCTCTATAATCTTCTAACTACCGCCCACAGGATGGGTATGGGGTACATAACAAAGATAATGTTGAATACACATACAAGGGTTTATGTATTGTATGTGTTTGTTGCTGTGGTTGATATGGGTTGACCTGGGTATGTGGGTTGACCTGGGTATGTGGGTTGATGTCGTAGGTGTGGTTTGGGTTGGTTAGTGTGATGTATATGGGTCGGGGTTATGTTTGTGTTGGGATAAAGTGGTGTGAGTGTGTAATCACGTATTGTGGTGGCAGGGGCCGATTCACAACTCTTGTGTGTACTCACCTAGTTGTACTTAACTTGTTGTGGTTGCAGGGGTCGAGTCATAGCTCCTGGTCCCGCCTCTTCACTGGTCGCTACTAAGTCCACTCTTTTCCTGCCCCATGAGCTTTATCATACTTCTTCTTAAAGCTATGTATGGATCCTGCCTCCACTACATCACTCTCCCGATTGTTCCACTTCATGACAACTTTAGGACTGAAGAAATATTTCCTAACATCCCTGTGGCTCATACGAGTCTTCAACTTCCAACTGTGTCCCTTTGTTGCTGTGTCCCATCTCTGGAACATCCTGTCTCTGTCCACCTTGTCGATTCCTCTCAGTATTTTATATGTCGTTATCATATCCCCCCTATCTCCTCTGTCCTCCAGTGTCATCAGGTCGATTTCCCTTAACCTCTCCTCGTAAGACATACCCCTTAGCTCTGGGACTAGTCTTGTTGCAAACTTTTCCACTTTCTCTAATTTTCTGCCGTGCTTGTCTAGGTGTGGGTTCCAAACTGGTGCCGCATACTCCAATATAAGTTTGATGTACACGGTGTACAGGATTCTGTGTGTGTGTGTGTATGTGTGTGTGTGTGTGTGTAGCCTGAGTTATTAATCCTCCAACTCAATAATTCTCTCCTCCTCTCCTCCTCCACGCTTGGCGCTGCGTCTCCCTCGTCCAGGACCAGCGCCGCCTAGCAGAGACTGTGGTAACTACATCACCCGCCAGATTCAAGTCACACCATCAACAATAATACTACTACTAATAATATTTAATTAATTATTATTATTAGTAGTAGTATTGTTTAATAAAGATAATGAGGTGGGGTAGGTAACAGTTCTTAGCTTGTAAATAAAGAAAGGAACTCTTAAACCAATCCAGTAAAATCCATTTGAGATAGATAGATAGATAGATAGATAGACAGAGAGAGAGAGAGAGAGAGAGAGGGAGAGAGAGTGTGTGTAAGAGAACAAGGTCAATCACAGATACAAACACATTATCGCAGTACGAGGACCTGGCACATAGAATTCAAGGCTGTACCCGTGTGAGGGTGCACATGTGTGGTGTCTGGTTATCATTGTAACCTGCACTGTTTCCCACCTTCTGCTCTAGTCACTCACATGTTGTAATATATCTCAAATAACACCATTATATTTCTATAATACATTGTCATAATTATATACCCTCATGCCAAGATGGTTTTACTCTCACATTCCATCATATAGGATAGTGTTTTCCTGCCATCATATAGGAAGGTTTTCCTGCCATATTTCACCACACAGGTTGGTTTTTAACCTGCAATTATGCTACAGATTATTGTTACTAAGTAATAGCATCCGGGCCGTGAACATTGCATCATAGTAATGAAAGTGGAAGAGGAAGTGTTTCTGTAGTTTGTGAGTGGGTGGATGGAAGGGTGAGTGGGTGGGTGGGTGAGTGGGTGGGTGGAAGGGTGTGTTGGTGGGTGGGTTGATGGGATGGTGGGTTATGTAGGTGCAACAGTGTACTCCTGGTCTACGATGGGGGCACACAGACTAGCCTGGCTTGCTTGCGTTATCCTGTGTTATCAACATGGTAAGATCATGTATTATTATGTAATACTTGGCCCCACGAGTATAATACAACCCCATTGGAAATAAGAACGACCCCAGTGGAAATAAGAACGACCCCAGTGGAAATAACAAGGACCCCCAATGGAAATAACAAGGATCCCAAATGGAAATAAGTCACTTTGTCTGACTTATTTGGGTTATCCTGGTGGGCAAGTTATACTATGTATGATAATCGTACTTGTGTGTACATGTACCTAAATCAACTTAACCTTAGACTCGACTCATTCAACAAGCATAACACTCTGACTTACTTTGTTATCAAAATATTGTGGCCGAGTCCCTGGACCCATTATGTACCTCTGTAAGCTTATGACTGCTACCCATACCATGGGTCTGAGGGGCATAACCAAGTTATTAAATTAACAGTGACACTAATGAACCCACGTATAGAGAAGGTTCGTGTTTTAGGGTAGGTCCGTGTTGTAGAGAAGGTCCGTGTTGTACAGAAGGTCCGTGTTGTAGAGAAGGTCCGTGCTGTACAGAAGGTCCGTGTTGTAGAACGAACTTCAACGAGTTTCGTCCTTACTATAGACAAATAATTTGCACATAGGAGAGAGAGGAGCATATAACGACTTTTCGGTCCGACCTGGACCATTCAGTGTGATTTGCAAATGGTTCAAGTGGGAGAGAAACGTCGTGGTCAGCTCCTTTCTCCTTTGTGCAGGTTATTTGTGTATTGTTCCAGTCACGGTATTGTTCCAGTCACTGTATTGTTCCAGTCATGGTATTGTTCCAGTCACGGTATTGTTCCAGTCACGGTATTGTTCCAGTCACGGTATTGTTCCAGTCACGGTATTGTTCCAGTCACGGTATTGTTCCAACCACGGTATTGTTCCAGTCACGGTATTGTTCCAGTCACGGTATTGTTCCAGTCACAGTATTGTTCCAGTCACTGTATTGTTCCAGTCACGGTATTGTTCCAGTCACGGTATTGTTCCAGTCACGGTATTGTGTCTTGTTTCTTCTATTTTTTTTCCTCAAAATATCTCCATTCAGCTTTATTTCCTCTATTCCCAATAAAAGTTAGTTTACCAGAGTGCCTTTTCTTAACTTTTGTTGGAATGTCTACATACAATTTAACCCTCTTTTAGAGAAATCAGAAAATAAATATGCTATTATTTGACCTTACGTGAAGTCCCTCAGTATTTTCCTGAAGACGGCTTTAGAATGGGAACGAAATGCGCAATATTCTTATTTTCTCTAATATTGCCTATCTGTGGGTCCGTTCTTGAAGACGAAATTAATTTCTTTATGCGGACTCTGGTGCCTGTCTTGTTGTATGTGTGCAGCTAGCACCGACAGCCTGATTGACCAGGCTTTCAACTAGAAGAAGGTCTGTTTTAAGACCGAAACCATGCACTCCTAACTCTCGAGTATTTCGAATTCTGGTCATTTCGGTTTACGATTGAAATGAGCAGGGTTGGATTCTCGGTGGAGTCGAGACATAGTTCCAAGTCTCCCTTCGTATGCTGTCCCTGTTCACCTAGCAGTAAGTAGGTACCTGGAAGTTAAGCACCTTACACATGCTGTCCCTGTCCACCTAGCAGTAAGTAGGTACCTGGAAGTTAAGCACCTTACACATGCTGTCCCTGTCCACCTAGCAGTAAGTAGGTACCTGGAAGTTAGGCACCTTACACCTGCTGTCCCTGTTCACCTAGCAGTAAGCGGGCACCTGGAAGTTAGGCACCTTACACCTGCTGTCCCTGTCCACCTAGCAGTAAGCAGGTACCTGGGTGTTAGTGGACTGGTGTAGGTCATATACCTGGGAAAGAGGATCTCAGTATTCCAACAGAAATAAGTCACTCTGTGCGGCTGTCTTGTATTACCTTGTGGAGGAGACCTCAGCAGTCCAACATAAACAAGCCAATCTCTTTGGCTTCCTTATATTATTCTGGGTTATTAAGCCTCCTGGGTTGATACTTCGTAGAATGTCTTCATTACTTTTTTAACTTGCCATGATTGTGACTAGACCTACCTGAAGTTCATTACCTTTGTAAATTGTGAGTTCATTACCTTTGTAAATTGTGAGTTCATTACCTTTGTAAATTGTGAGTTCATTACCTCTGTAACTTGCTCAGCTATCAAAACTTTGGAGTTCAGTCCCTGGACCAATTATGTACCTCTGTAATCTTTTGACTACCGCCCACAGGATGGGTATGGGGTGCATAATAAACATATTAAACTAACTCTTCAGGAGCGGCAGACTCGACCAACGAAGAGGTTGGCTTCATGATGCTAACGGGAGACACTTTCAACCAAGTCGACCTCACGAGAGATGGACCCAGCATCGACGTTGGGGACTCCACTGGGAACGTGATCGACGACAAAATAGTCGAGGCGCTGGAGAACTTTAGGTCGAACATGAGCAGTGGATGGCCTGACCTAGGGATCCCTCCCCTCGACCCCCTCTTCCTGTCGACCGTCGACCTCAATATTACCTCAGATGACACGCAGTAAGTGTCGACCTGGAGTTATGTGAGTTTTTGAAGAGATTGAGTCTTACGGGGGAGCCAAGGGGAGACATGGTTACAACATACAAGATACCAACGGGTCTATCTTCCCCACTGAGGGGTGAAACGTTCTATAATAAATAACTTAAATAATCTAGAATTGTAAGTAAGGAGGCCTGGTCACAGACCGGGCCGCGGGGGCATTGACCCCCGAAACTCTCTCCAGGTAATCTAGTACTCTAAGCTGTTTAAATCATCCAATATAAATACTTTAAATAATCTACCAGACAATGCATCGAACTATCCACAATAAAATTATATATCTATCTATTCTCAATAAACTATCTATCTCCTTCCCATTAATATCTATTCTCACACACCTTTGACACAACACCAACTATCTATCTTCCATTCCTATTAATATCTCTGGCTACTGCGTCGAATATAATAATGGTAATAATTATAACTATAATTTTTGATGGGGTGGGGGGCAAGCCAGCGGAAGGCCTAGGTCAGATTACCAAAATCTCCCTCTGTAGGTCTTGCATATGACCAACACCCGCTTCTCAAGGAAACACTTGCCCTGTTTCCTGGCGAAGCTGACCTAACTTACCTAACCTAATCTAACTTAAACTTGAGTATACCTAACCAACGTACCGTGTGTGGAGCAGCGTGTTGGTACCTTGACGGAGGTGTCTATCAACAACCTCTCCAACTTCAACATCGACCTGGGTCCACAGCACCCTCATCTACCTCCGCGTCCCCTGGTTCACTGGGCTACCAGGGGGTCGAATAGACGGTCATTAACGACTACAAGGACAACTTGGTGTCTTCCCCATCTAACGGCAGCGTCCATTTACGTAACTCTTAAGGCTTCTACCCGCCCGCCCACTACCTCACTTCTTACTACAACTGATGTGTGGAAATGATGCAAAAACTTTGCCGTTCATCTCCCACACATCAATTATTCAGTTTTTTGCTAAATGAAAAATGGAAATTCCACATGTACCAGACAGTTTAGAGAGAAAGTTTGATAGTAAATATTATCATAATTTGTGTTTACATACTCAGTTACGAAATTAAATATTTTTTACAACGTTATTGGTTTTTCCCTCTGTTATATTTCAAACATAGGATGGCTGCCCCTGTTATATTCAACATAGGAGGGCTCCCTGTTTATATTTCAACATAGGATGGGGGGCTCCCCTGTTATATTTCAACATTAGGATGGGGCCCCCCCTTGTTATTTTTCAACATAGGATGGGCTCCCCCTGTAATTTCAACATAGGATGGCCCCCTTGTTATATTTCCACATAGGATGGGCTCCCCTTGTTAATTTCAACATAATGGGCCCCCTTGTTATAATTTCAACGCAAGATGGTCCCCTGTTAGTATTTCAACATAGGATGGGCCTCCCTGTTATATTTCAACATAGGATGGGCTTTTCCCGTTGTTATATTTCAACATAGGATGGGCATCCCTTGTTATATTTGCAACATAGGATGGGCTCCTCTTGTTATATTTCAAATATGATGGGATCGCTTGTTATATTTCAACATAGGATGGGCTCCCTTGTTTATATTTCACATAGGATCGGGCCCCATGTTATATTTCAACATAGATGGGCTCCCATGTTATATTTTCACCATATGATGGGCTCCCTTGTTAATTTCAACATAGGAATGGCTCCCTTGTTATATTTCAACATAGGATGGGTTCCCTTTTTATATATCAACATAGGATGGGCTCCCTTGTTATATTTCAACATAGGATAGGCTCGCCTTGTTAATTTCAACATAGTGAAGATGGGTTCCCCTTGTTATATTTCAACATATGATGGGCCTCCCTTTGTTTTATATTTTCAACATAGGATGGGCTCCCTTGTTATAATTTCAACATAGGATGGGTTCCCTGGTTATATTCAACATAGGATGGGTTACCTTGTATATTCAACATAGATGGGCACCCTTGTTATATTTCAACATAGGATGGGTTCCCGTTGTTTATATTTTCAACATAGGATGGCTCCCTTGTATATTTCACATAGGATGGGCTCCCTTGTTATATTTCAACATAGATGGGCTCCCTTGTTATATTTCATCATTAGGATGGGTTCCTCTTTGTTATAATTATCAACATAGGATGGGTTTCCCTGTTATATTTTCAACATAGGATGGGCTCCACCTTGTTATATTCAACATAGGATGGGATCCCCTGTTTATTTCAACATAGGAAGGAATCCCCTGTTATATTTTCAACATAGGATTGGGATCCCCTTGTTTATATTTCAACATAGGATGGCCCCCCTTGTTTATATTTCAACATAGGATGGGCCCCTTGTTATATTTCAACATACGTGGGCTCCCTTGTTATATTTCAACATAGATATAGGCTCCCTTGTTATAATTTCAACATAGGATGGGCTCCCTTGGTTATATTTCAACATAGTATAGGCCTCCCTTGTATATATTTTCAACATAGGATAGGCTCCCTTGATATATTTCAACATAGGATGGGCTCCCTTGTTATATTTCATCATAGATAGGCTCCCTTGTTATATTCAACATAAGGAGGGGCTCCCTGTTATATTTCACATAGATGGCTCCCTTGTTATATTTCAACATAGGATGGGCCCCCTGTTATATTTCAACATAGAGGATGGGCGCCCTTGTTATATTTCAACAAAGATAGCTCCCTTGTTATATTTCAACTAGGATGGGCACCCTATGTTATATTTCAACATAGGATAGGCTCTCCTGTTTATATTTCAACTTAGGATGATCCCCTGTTATATTTCAACATAGGATGGCTCCCTTGTTAATTTCAACATAGGATGGGCCCCCATGTTTATATTGTTCAAACATAGATGGGCTCCCTTGTTATATTCAACAATAGGATGGCTCCCTTTGTTATATTTCAAAATAGGATGGCTCCGCTTGTTATATTTCAACAGGATACGGCTCCCTGTTATATTTCAACATAGCAAATAGGATCCACTGTATATTTCAACCTGCTGGCTATGGTGACGTCCTCCACAGGGGAAGGGGAGGGGAGGAGGGTAGTAAGGGAGAAGGAAGGAAGAAGAAGGGAGAGTGGTAAGGAGAGGAAGGGGAAGAGAAGAGGGAGGAGTGGTAAGGGAGAGAAGGTGAAGAAGGTAGGAGAGTGGTAAGGAGAGGAAAGGGAAGAAGGAGGGAGAGTGGAAGGAGAGGAAGGGAAAAAAGGGAGGAGAGTGTAAGGGCGAGGAAGGGAGAGAAGAGGGAGGAGTGGTAATGGAGTATATATTGCTCCGAGACACTAGTTCCTCCCTCATACATTCAATTAGAAAAATCAAATCTTTATTTCCAGTTGGGACACACAAAATGTTACATAGAAGTTCACAGTATAGTTGGCTACAGTTTGCGGGACACAGGGGCTATAGTAACAAGGAGCACTATTACTCAACTGAAATCACCGGCTTCTTATATAGTAATATGTCATTGATGTTAGCTATGGTCGTGTAATTGTATCATGTATTTATAGAAATAAAGATTAATTTATTTTTATTATTATTATTTATTATTATTATTATTATTATTATTATTATTAATATTATTAATATTATTATTATTATTATTATTATTATTATTATTATTGTTATTATTATACATTCCACAGCTTCATGTTTTACTGATGGTATGCAACACCGAACGGATGGTTGATAAGGAAACATAATGTGCAGACACTTGGTATCTTCATTGCCGAAATATTTTAAGCAATACAATACCCAGAATTGCACATGTATCTTAAGATAATATAAGATAAGATTTGTTGGGAAGTTTTTAACCCAGGTTGAGGAGGTGTTATCCAGCAGGATAACTAAAGAAAATCAGTTGCGTCATCGGGACTGGTTTATCTATTCAATTAATGGTTGATCATTTTTTGTAAGTCCAGAAATCTATATACGCTGTGTGGCATACTGGAAAATAAATCACTGCTTACCCCCCCCCCCCCCCCCAAAAAAAAAAAAAAGAAAAAAAAAAATCTCTATTCTTCTAAATATTAACATATAAGTTGATGGGACAGATAGTTGACAGCACAGAATTTGTTTTTCATTATTGGTAATACCTGATCTTATAGCAAGTTTCTAGTCTGGTAATCCTGATTTTTAAATATTAGAAGAGTCATAAAACATGGAAATCTCGATCCATTCTCTCGCGCAACACAGGCTGGACGCCTTGAACTCCAGTTAGAACATCGAAGTGGCTCTCTGCGTGGACGAGTTCGATGGAGCTAGGGGTTACAGAACTCACAATCTACTTCTGACTGTAACACCACCAGAGGTGAGTGCCCAGAGTCAAGCTATAGAGTGACGGGCCAGGCTGATGAGTAGGCTATTGACATCTGACTGGGTAGATGGTATAGCAGTTTCGTTCTTAGGCTGTTTGGTAGGCTCTCTGGGCAGGCCTGATAGCTTGACGTCAGGCTGGTTAGCATGCTAGTAAGGCAGGCTAATTGGCAGACAAAACCTAACCACAGAGTCCAACCAACTTGCTCCAAAGGTTTTCCTTAATAAGTTAAGTAAAGTTAATTCAGGTATACACAAATACAGTTACATATTGATTAACATACATAGAAGTATATGTGTAGAGAACCTGGGATAACCCAAAAAAAAAAGTCAGACAAAGTGACTTATTTCCATTGATCTCTTATCCGATCTGCTTCAAACTCATTATGGTGAAGGCTATAACTGTATTGGGGAGAATGTTCAAAGAACAATTACATGTGCAGCTGCTTGCGCTTCTGTTCAGTTTCACCTGAAGCCATCCAAGTGTTTGCTCTCAAGGCGTGATCTTATAGACACCAGTCCTGCAACTACGTCCTTACATTAAACCCTGGTGTATCCCACCTGGTAGAATGTTGCACTCTCAGTGGGAAGTGTGGTGTGTGCCATTGGCCAGAGTGGGTTCCCAAACTACTGCCATCTTTATGTAAAAAATTGGGATATTAATTTCCATAAGATTAATAAGTAAGAAA